ATCTGTGATGAAAATTCTGAAGATCTTCTCCCACCCAGGCACAAAAAATTCACAGGATCCTTTCCATGCAGAAAGTGAAAATATGCAGAACTGTCCCTCGCCTTCCACTGAGGGCCAGAATTTGGGGTGTTTTTCTCAGTCAGAAGGCAGCAGGCAACAGGCAAATCACTGTTATCTGCGTGTCTTCCTTTTCAGGGAGGGCTGTGAGTGTTTTTCACTTAGGTAATAACAGGCTTTTGGCAGCACCTCCAGCGCAAAGCCAAGCTGCAGGTGAGCAGCAGGAGCAGAAGCGTTTGGCTGAGGTTTAACAGCTCACATTCCACTGATAGTAGGGGGCTTTCCCAGAGCTCTGCCAAGGCAGGCTCGGTCTGTCCAGGGAGCAGGAGGGCAGGAGAGGCAGCATCAGGAAAGAAGGGGATTTGTTGAGGCAAGTTTGTGGAGAGGGATGAGCAAAGCCCAGAAGGCAAAAGGTACCATGGGAAAGAAAAGCCAGATGCAGAAGGGAGGTGAAAGCATTAGAGCTGAGAGAAGATAAAGGAAGAGAATGGAGGGTTCTGCAAACCAGTGTAAATTTGGACAAAGCTGAGAACGGTCAAAATTTCTGATGATGACAGAAAGACTCCAAAGTAGTATTTTTTTAGGAAACAAAATACTAGCTTTCTGCACACTTAGAGAGAAGATAAAGGAAGAGAATGGAGGACTCTGCAAAGCAGCATAAATTTGGACAAAGTTGAGAATGGTCAAAATTTCTGATGACAAAAAGACCCCAAAGTAGTATTTTTTTAGGAAACAAAATACTAGCTTTCTGCACACTTTATGCCATTTTGGAGGAAGGGTCAATTACAACCTCCAAGAAATCCCTGACTGCTATGTGAGTTTTCACGAAATTGCAAGGGTTTATATTTCTCTCCCTTTTATTTTCTCTCCCATGTTGCAATAGAAGATAAATGAGAGAGCACATACACAAAAAAACTCCAACAAACAAAAAAGCAAACAACCAAATCCAACAAAACCAAAAGCAAATATCCAGGCTCAAACTCAGACATGTGTTGTTTGTTAATATATTCAGACTATTTCAAGGTGTCTCTCCCCAACAAGTCAATTTTATAATCTCAGTTTTTCCATCTCCCCAAAAAGGGTTGAATACAGTTTTCCACGTTCACATTGCACACGTGACTCCCATGGGCTGCTGGGTGGTGATACAGTTGTGGACTTCTGCCCCACTGGGAGGTCTGTGACCCCCAAAGGAGGCTCTGACTTACCTGTGAATGTGATCCCAATCAGATGGGGCTTCACTGTCACTCAGAAGATTGCTGACTAGCAATAAATATTCATAGAACTGATTAGATGTTAATTGCACAAATCACCACCTCTTCAGCCAACTCCAGGATCCTTGCTGCCACCCACCACAGTTAAAGAGGCAGCAGAAAATGTCTCTTCTCTAGGTCCCTTAAGGTCAGCCTGGTAGCTCAGACGGAGGTTAAATGAGTCACCTTGGCACAGCCACAGCAGTGCTTCCCCAGTTCTGCCCCAGGTGAAGGGCTGTGCTCTGCTAGTGTAGCCCCCAGGGGCCAGGAGCCCAGAGACATCTGTGCAGTGTGTCCTGCCTCCCTCTCCCCACACACTGCTTGCTGTCCAACCCCACAGGGATTGCCCTGCCCTGCTCCTCTGCTGTCTCTGTTCTTCCCATCCAGACAGGTTTGCCGGGTCCCTTCAGCAAGGTACAGGAGCAGAGCTTGCCGTGCTGGCAGGACATATGGTGCTCTCCCTGCACAGCCTGTGCCTTTGAGGGCCCATATGTGATGGCCACCTTGCACCATCTCCACTGTCTCCCCGAAGTGCTGGGCTGGCACCTCTAGTGACACGACTATCCCCACAGAAGAGCACAGCTGTCAGACACAAGGTGTCCCTCCGTGGTGTGGCACAGCATCTGTGGCAGAGGTTGCAGGCTGCTCAGAGAGTGTTTGTACCCCGCATCCTCCTGACATTTGTGCTGCCCCTGCTCTGGAGCTGAGGTGGGAGCCCTGTTCTTGTCAGTGCCAGCCCTTCCTACTGACAACCCACAGAGACCCAGAGTCCCCCACCCTCCCTGAGTCATTCCTTGCATCCCTCTGTCCTGCCATACACAGCCTCCTTGAACTTGGCCACTAGCACCAGCCTTCAGCAGCAAACTGCTGTCTGTACATGGGCTCAGACACAGGGAAATGTGATAGCCTGGGACAGGCAACATTCATCTTCATTGCAGAGAGGCAGCAGGATTGGAAATGGCATGGCAAGATGAGACTGCTGCATGCCCCCGTCACAGGCACTTAGAGCAGAGACACTGCAGATGTGACAGCAGTGACACTCCACGAAATCCTGGCCAGGTCTCAACCCCTGTCTGCCTGGGTTTCCTCCAGCCCCCCAAATGGATTCTCTGCCAGGCTGGAGGCAGAACTGATCCAGAGCAAGGTGCAGCAGAGAGGCCATGGTGCCTTTAAGAGCCATCCTGCTCTCTACCTTTGTGCTCTGGCCTTTCTGTGTGAAATGCATACTCAAAAAAAAAATAAGAAGGAAGAAGTACCTCAGTACCCCTGCCTCCCCCACCCTCAGGCATCAAATTGCTTTCTAACCACCAAATATAAGTGGTGGGAGACAGGAGGAACTGCTCCTGTTGGGCTGACAAATCTGACTGCACCACTCCAACCAGCCCAAGTACAGTGAGGCTGTGCTTCTTTCCATACAAAAGAGCGGCTCCCCTCCCTCTGAGGCCACTGCAACAGCCTTTCCAATGCCATGGATTTATGGTATGAGCTGACTGAACTGTTGCTCCCCCTTGGTGTCAATCCCTGCACTGCTGTGGAGGGGAGAGGTACAAGTGCTCACACAGAAGGAGTTAAAAGGCTGGCAGTCCTGGTACATGTAACCCTGTTTAGCTGACAGAAAACAGCTCCTTGCTTTTCCTGTTGTGCTGAAGGCTGTGTGACACACAGCTGAGCAGTTTTAGGCCTGACAGTAATAGTGTCTCTGATGGGTGCTCTCACCTTGCACTGAACACCATCCTGGCCAACTTGGATAGTCTTGCCTCCATTTGGTCCTGGGCCCCCATCAGCAAGAGCATTCAGCCTCTGGCAAAGGACAGGTTCAGCTGATGTCCTCTGATGGCTCTCACTCCATAATTCAGGCCCCTGTGCCTCCATTTGTACGCTGTCCTACCCCTCCACCTCACAGAGAATTTCTCTACCTAAGGTGTACTGCAGGAGGCTGCTGGCTTTCCTCACAGCTGCTCCATCTCTGTCAGTGCAAACAATTTCTAGAATGCCTTTTTAAAATGTATTAGCCTTCCAAAAAGGAGCTGATAAACAGGGGATAGGAGGACAGGAAGGAGTGGGGAAGAGGCAGGAGGCAGCAATGTGGTCTATTCCACACATCTGCACTATTCTCCTCCCAGCCATTTTATGAAAATAGATGGACATTTATTATGAAAAAGAATGGCTGGGTGTGTGCAGGAATCCTTGGGCAGGCAGGGAATAAGTGTCAGCCTTCTGCATGTATGTCTGTGTGAGCCACACATGCTGCCTATGAGAAAGAGGAATATCTCTACCATGCAGAGAGCAATGTGTCAGACTGAGCACCTGAGGGGCTCTGTGTGTGTGTCTGTGCGAGCTGCTGCAGCTGCCCCCAGCACAGGGAATGGGTGATGGTGGTCAGCAACACCTTCCCTGCTGATGCCATTTGAGTTGCACAAGTCATTCCTCTCATCAGTTTCTAAGGGCTCCAAGAGAGTCTCTCAAAGCACACAGTCAGGAGTGGGGGGGTCAGTTTTAGAGACCTATCCTGAGACACCCAGGCCAACACCAAACACGTGGGTACTCAGCAGGCACGAGGTCAGGCCACCACTCAGAGAGAGCACGTTGCATTGCTGGTGGGCAACACCACCTACCATTGTGTTCATGGCCCTGAGGAGACTGGGGCATCACAGAGCAAGCATTTTCTCCACTGGGGCCAAGAAAAGGCAATGGAAACTCAAATTTCCATTTGAGTCTCCCTGCCTCAGTTTCTAGGAGAAACAAAACATGGTCCAACCCTTCCTGACTCTTGTGGTTAGCTTGACAGATGGAAATTACACAATTGCCTCTCTCAAGCTGTACTTCCCACCCTGTAACCACTGGGAGTAATTTTTTCTGCAGTGTGGGTATCTAGGGGAAGAAGGGAAGAGAAGGGACATATGCAGCTTGAAGAGAATTAGAAATGTTAGGGATGACAAGGAATGGGGAAGAGCTTGGATAGACCCTGCTGTCATAGGAATGATCCAGGTAAACTGCAGGGAGGGCTTAGCCTGGATTGCCACACCAAACACCAGATTATGGGTAGAATAAAGACTTCAGACTACATTTTGATGGCTTTTGTCACACAGAATATAAGCCTGAGAAGCACTAGAACAGACACTTCTCACTCCAGTCCTGGGCTCAGGGGCATCTCTCACCAGCCAAATGTATATTTTGTGTTTCTCTTACATATATGGGAGATGTTGCCAAGATAAGAGGCCAGAGGCTGCCTTCTCTCCCACCTCTGGACATGAGCCTGCCTCTGCACCGAGCCCAAAGCAGGAGTGAATGTGTGTGTGCAAGCACGTGTGCTCCAGAGCAGTGGGCAGCAAACTCACTCTGCATCACATCAGCAACAAAGAGATTCAGTGCAGGAGACATTTGCAGAAGAAAACCTTCACGTTCCTTCTCCAGGGTGAGCGCGTGCTCCAACTCCGAGATACGCTCCCTGCCTCTTGAAATTAATTCAACATTCTGTGGCTTGGGCGAGAAGGACCGGAATGAAAAATGGGGCTGTGCTGGCCTTGCTGCAGATTGCCTGGTAGATACAGCCCTCTGCAGGAAGGAAAAAGCCAAGAGACTGCAGCAGTGCTCAGGCTGCTCTGCTGGGCACAGGTACATGATACTCTTACCTCGCATCCTCTGACTTTGTCATGAAAATGATCACGTTACCTGAGTTTTTGGCTTATTTTAAGCACTTTTATTTCTTTCTTTACACAAGAGACAAAATCCCCCAGCCTCCAGATGATACCACTGTATGAAGATGGGAATGAATGCCTCTGTGTGTGTGTGCTGGTGGGGAGATCTATGTACCTTCATTTTTTCATGCCATCTGACTGTAAAACTTTCAGATACAAAACCCAGGCCTCTGAGCTGCTCAAGGAACCAACCATTGCCAGGGAGCCATCACCCAGGAGGAGAGCTAGAGTTTGGGTTTCCTCCTGAAGGAAATCTGTGGTGGTCCTCGAGTCTCCAAAAAGAGAGACGAAACACGCAGAGCTGCTTTCCTGGTCCCACATCATCTCCATGCTTGGTTAGCCCTTACGTTGAACAAGGATTCAATTGTCTTTAACTTTACAACATTTATGACACAGTTACAGAGCGGGGACTTCCCAGGATTACAGCTCTCACTCCAGGCTTTAGGAAGGGGGAGAGAGGGATTTCTTCTGAACTGAGGGGTTCTTATCTTACCTTGGCCTCTGGTTTCACAGTGAGTTTCTAAATATCAGCGGCTTCCACCCCACTACCTCTACACATCTGTTCATGGAAGAGAAACCACTGGGGCCTTTCTGCTCTGCAACTGACTGGACCATGCTCAGCTACTCCAAGAGAATCCACATGGCCCCTCACAGAAAAATACCCTGGCCTGGTGTGACAACAGGAGGGGCTGAACACAACCTGCAGACATTCCTGTCTCCTCTCAGATCCTGTCCCACATGTCTGGGGCTGCATGGGAGAACCCAAAGGCCAATTGCTGTTGAGCTTTTATGTTCAGACATGGGCAAGCCCCTGCCCACAGTTCTGACAGTCCTCAGTGCATCGCATCCTGCGCCTCTGCCTCCAGCTTGGAAGGGGAAGAAGCAAAGAGGGCAAGCTGTCCTGTCAGTCATCTGCCTGCCAAATGGGAGGCAGGTGGAACCAAAGCTCCCAAATTTCTTCACTGGAAGAGCCCAGTGTGAGAGGGAAGCTGTCCAATAACCTACACCTTTCTGATGCCGGTGACCAGGTCATGGTTCAGTTTTTGCTGGCAATCTTTTTCTTACGGGCAGAGACCAGATCATAAAAAGGATCCTGTGTGATGCTGGTCCTGGAAATCAGAGGAAATGGGAGCAAAAGTAAGAGATTTAATGATTGAGAGCAGCACAGACAACCTAACTGAACCTGCACAGAGACACCACTTATCAAAAGGTAGGACTGGAGATCTGCAGACTTACAGCAGAGAATTACAAAAGTAAGAGACTTAATGACTGAGAGCAGCACAGACAACCGAACAAACTGCACAGAGACACCACTTATCAAAAGGTAGGACTGGAGATCTGCAGACTTACAGCAGAGAATTTAGCTATGGCTAGAGATTCTCCAGAAGGCACCTTGAAACTCTTTTAAAGTCAAGGGGTACCGTAGTTGTTATACTGCAAACATTCCCTTCCACCCCCCCTTTTCAAGCTCTGATAAAAGACAACCAAATAAACTTTGTGACCACTTGTCCCTAGGGCTGAAAAAAGGCAACTCAAGTTCTCCTCACCGTATTGCCTCAATCCACTCATCACGCTCTGCTGGAGTGGCTGCTGAGATCTTGTAGGACTGATGCTTGCCTTCAACCACCTTCCCATCCCCAACTGTTTTGCAGGCTTTGATCTTCTGCCCTTTGCAGTTGGGATTGAAGAGTTCAAAGCAGTTCTGTCCAAAAGGAAACAAAATGGAAAGTAGGATTAGACAGAGGACCAAGAAGACTGCTTCCTTCAACCATGGGTAACAGGCTGAGAGAGCTTTCAATGGGCAGGAGTCTCCAAAATGCAACAGATCCTATCTTTCCCCACCCCAAAAATTACCCTGTAAGTTAGATAACCTTCCTTCTTAGGTAAATACACCCCCGCTGTGAAGAAATGGACACTAAACCAGGCTTTATGGAGAGATGGAGCATCAACACTTATCAAAACACATCTTCTAGGTCACTCCGCTCCACTCATGAAAATCCCTCCCCCTCTTAAGTAGATGCAGCATCCTTTTTTCTGCCTGCCACCACACAGACAGAAGGCACATTTCCCAGAGCCATGACACATTGAAAAGTGGGTATCCACAAAAGACACACAGAAGAAATGAGTCACTTCCTGGGCAAGTTCCCTAACACCAACAGTTCTGTTTGGTCTACATGTGCTGTAACTCATTATGGAGAGTCCCAAGGCAAGAAATTAAACCCACATCTCCTGGTGCAAAATAAGTAGGAAGTCTGCTGTGTGCATTCATCTTTCCCCCTACACACGTGAAAACATACGATATAGTCAGCCAAAGGACAGCTCTCTACTCACACCAAAAGCACAAATTAAACACATAGCCATGTTTGGATGAGAGCACAAGGCAGTTTGCAACTGCACCTTCCCCCTGAGAAGCAAGTCGAACACAAGCCATTAGTGTAGGGTAGGAGCAATTTGTGTGCATCATCTCTTCCCTCCAACCATCTGAGAGGCTGTGTTGGCAGAGTGCCAGCCAATGGACACTTACTGGCTTTTTGGGATCATCCACCTTCCGGACTGAGAGATTCTCCAAGGGGATAATACCCAGAGGCTCTTTGTCCTGAAGGCAAGGAAAAATGAATTAACACCCAACAAGCTCCCCAAATCTATGCTGCTGTTTAGAACCTCTCTGATTTCCCCTGTGGGGGCCTTTGTGGAGGTGACAAGGGCAGAGTAATGCCTCAGGAGACCCCTTCCATTGACACAACGGGGAGTTTAGTCAAGAGGAGACCACAGCTGCAGTGTCCAGCCTCCTCCTCCTCCACATGGGAGGTGAGGAAACAGCACAGGAGAGAGTGGGGGTGTGAGATCAGCCTGGGAGCACAGGTGAAAGGGGAAGACTTGCCTCCTACCCTCTGCTCCTTCCTGGCCCCTCAGAGGCTCATAACCACCCAGGACAGTTTCCCAGCCGTGAGTTATGCCTTACCGTGGTATATTCAAAGTAATACAGGCAGTTATCGGTCAGAATGAACCAACGGCGTTTCCAGGTTTTCACACGTCCTCCTAAAGGCAGTGAGGTTCAGGAGCCATTAGTCACACATTTTTCTGTCCTTCCCCCAAGCTCCAGACACGCACACACAGTCACACCCTCCCAGCTCTCCCTGTAGGTGAGCCCCAAGGAGACACCATCACTGACGTGATGCTGTGCAACAGACAGACAAACACAGAGCCCATTTTGCTCTGATGGCTCTGGGAATGGGGAGGGATATTTGAGTCCCTTTTTGAGCAGAGCCTACAGGAGCCGGGAGGAGGGAGCAGGCAGCTGGTTTCAACAGCAGGTGTCAGCCTCAGCCCGCCGCAGCAGACGGGAGCCAAGGACAGCGGAGATGACGGTAGGTTCCCGGGGCAGATCCGTGGTGGGAGGCAGGCAAACGGGGAGGTCAGAGATGCTAGGGCAGCCCTCTCCCTTACCTAGTTTCAGCAGCCAGCCTTCACGGTTAGGGTTGAAGAAAGTGTGGGTGAGGTCGTTGCCGTCATCCTCTGGTATGGAGAAGGGCTCGTTCTTTATGCTCTCAAACAGATTCTGCCCCAGAGCATTGGTGGGGAAGGACAGAGAGAGAAAGTAACATTGATTTCTGACAAAGCTTGTACACAACTATCCTAGGTCCACCTGGGATAAAATCACTCTGTTTTTACAAGGCAAGCTGGGTCAAGGGCAGGAGAGCACACAGTGAGCACTGGGGTAAAACAGCCCCCAGCCTGCACCTCACAGGGTCTCCAGGGGGGTCACCAGCTTTTTTCTGCACTTTGTGCTATAAAAAGAGTCTCAGTTTGGAAAACCACAGCCATAAAATGGTGCTCCCACAGCAAGACAGGCTGCAGTGACCAAACCCAGCATGCCACAAGTGCTGCTGTGGGCAGTAGTAAGGCACAAGGATGGGACTCAGCACGGCAGAGATGCAGCCCCGTTTAGAACCTGGGCTGGTGGTGCCAAATGCTGCCTGGAGACCAGCACTAGACCTACGTGGCCACAAGGAGGCACATTTCACAGAGCCAAAGCTTTGGCACCGAGAGGCACAAAGAGTGACATTCATAAGAGCAGAGTGACAGGGAGGCAGATCACTGCTTTGGAAGGATAATGAAATATTGTTCACATCATTATATCTGCCATCATTTACTATACAAATCCCAAGCCAAGAGGGAAAAAAAAGACTACAGGCTCCTGCACCCTCCCTCAAATTGACTGAAAGAAATTACATTCTGGAGAACAATCTACCTCTACCCCGAGGGGATGTTGCTCAGCTGCCCAGGTGTGGGATGTAGGCAGCCCCTTTGACACAAGACTGAAGTTTTTCTGCTCAGGCTGCTTGGGTGAAGGTAGACATGTCTAAGCAGGCTGCCCACCTCTACCTTACCTCACAGGGCAGGTCCCATGCCTGCTGAGCCTTCAGGAAAATGCCAGCTATAGCTTTGTTAATGGATGCATTCCCTGTCTCTGCACCTTTGCTTCTCAGTGGACCCAGGGGATGAGAGACTGGGAATTCTTCTCACCTTTAGAAGCTCTTCTGGCAGGTCCCCTCCATTGTCAATGCCTCTGTTGATGGATACAAACCTTTCAAAGTGGGGTTTGTCTTTCACATTGGGGTTGTGCAGGCTGGTGTTAAGCATGATGATAGAGAAGGAGAGTACATAACAGGTATCTAGCAATGAGAAAGAAAATCAGCGTGGGTGGCACTTGTCTTAAGAGGACAGATCAATCCATACCACAGGTGGCTTGGATTTTAGTCACTGAAGAAGAGAGTCATCCTCTCATTTGTAGGAGAGGAAGGGAGATGGTTCCTCTGCTAGGGGAAAGAGGGACACAGTTGATTTCCCATGAGGGAGGTGATTCCATGCCCTCAGGAGGATAATGGGGCAAGTTGGGCAGATGCAATCTAATAATGGCTCTGTCAGCAGGAAAGTCTCTGCAAACCTACATCTGTCAGTGCTATCTCTGCTGTGATGAGGTAATACCTCATGTGAGGCTGGGAGCCCTCCTCCAGTCTGCTGCCCACCAGGAGGGCTGGAGCACAGTAGCAAAAGGAGGACTGAAGATGCTCAGTTTATTGAAAATCTTCACAGGAACTGGGCTGCCTCCTTTAGCTTAAGGGGAAACACACTTCCCAGTGATGCTGCCTGTGCTTTGTGAATGGAAAAGGAAGGCTCCCCTCCCTAGAAAACAGCCTAGCTCAGCTTTACAGGCCTCCTTCCCTTAACTACCTGTGGACTGGAACACTGCTGGGTTACACTTGCAGTACCAGTTGGCAAAGGCCTCCATCATCCGGTCGATCTTCTGCGCCTCCCCGGGCAGCCGGAAGCTCCAGAGGAACTGCCTGTCAGGAGCAGGGGCAGAGCATCAGTCACACGGGCCCAAGGGACGTGGATGCCTCCCCTCAAGCCACGCAACACCAGGAAGGTAAGAGAATCATCCCATCACACTGGGGAGGCAACACGGGGCACGGAGCAGGAGCTCTGCTCCCCTCCAGAAACTGCCTGGATACATCAGCCTCAAACACCCTAAATGCAGGAAGGAGAACTAAGCCTCCCAGAAATCACAGCTCTGCTCCCCTAATGAGAGCCCTGCAAGGCAGCAGAGCCCTCAGGAGAAAGAGTCCTTCCAGGAGGCAGCCTGTAATAAAACAAGGTGCCCTGAAACAGAGTCACTTTGTTATTGACGTAACAGGCACCGAGGACAGACGTTTCCTGCTGCCAAAAATAACCTTTTTCATCCCCCCAGACACTGAAATCACAGTGACCCACTTTTCTGCACATAGGCAACCCAGTCAAGGGGCCATGAAAGTGTCTCCCACCCCCTGAGAAACTGCTGACACCTCACAGAGCAACAGCCCTGGAGCCAACACACAGCAGGGCCTTGGGAAGCTCCCGTTTCAGCCCAAGAAGGCTTCCTGACCTTCCAGGGTGGTGAGACCCAGGGGCTGAGCAGGTTCCAGCACTGTCCCCTGCGCCTGGCACGCTCACTCACCTCAGCGCCTGCACCAGGTTCAGGTTGGCAAATTGGTGACATGCCACAAAGGCCTGGAGGATCTGAATGTTTGTGGGGTCCCTGGGAGAGGACAGAGGGAAAAGGTCAGAAGAGAGCTTTGACCCTGCTCTGCCTGCATGTCCCTTGGTGTGCCAACACACACCTGCCTCCATCCCAGTCTCACTTCCCCTCGGACCAAGAAGCAGCCAAGGTGCACGCAGCAGTCTGGGATGACTGATCCCATAACAGGCAGGACAAAAGGTAGCCCATACAGCCAGCCTTAGTCATGCCCCAAAGACTCCCCCAGGGGTGTCCTGCCCACCCAGCCCACTGTGGTTGGAGGTATGTTCAGTCTTGGCACCTGGATGAGGTCTGCCACAGGTCATCCAAAATGGTAGTTCAGAGGGGCCAGGCAGGACAGGGCCTCCAAGGGGTCTCCCCATCCTGGGTGCTCACCTCCCACCCAGGTAATCCCCAATGGCTGTCTTGTTCAGACCTTCACCCTTGTGGAGGAACCTGGCGATCTCCTGAAGGTCTGAAGACAATACCTGGTGCTCGATCAGGTACTGGATCCCCTGGGAAGGAGGAGCAGGAAAGAGAAGTAAAACAGGTCTATTGAGAAACTAGGATCCCAACACTCTGATGTCAGCCTTCCTTAGCTTTAATGTACTTGCTCCTCTCTTACACCCCAAGCCCCTTCACGGGACACCACAGCCGTGTTCTCATCTTCCTTCAATCCCTCTTCATCCACCATGGGTTGTCAGTGCCATTTCATCCCTAGATTTGGCTAAATGTTTCACTGGGATGGAAACTCAAAACAGAGCAACATAGATTTAAAGTCCAAAAATGAAAAGTCAAAATAATAAATTTTAATATTTTCAATGAAAATGCCTTACAGTTCTGCTCCTAACTTAATTTAGAAAAAAAAGACATTTAACTTAAAAGAAAAACTATTTGTTTAAAAGAAGGCATAATAAAAAAAATGTACTCAGTCAAAAATATGGGCTTGAGACAATTTGAAACTATTTTTTCCTAGATTTTTCTTCTGTGCCACAGAACAGAGAAGTCTGCAGTCTTTTCAGCTCCATCCCTCCAGGATGGAATATGCTTTTTAAGGAATATAGAGGTTGTGAGTTGGGTTGAACAAAGAGTCAATATCCTATTTTAGAGAGAATTTCATGACTTTTAAAGCCAGAGAAAAAGCTGAGGCTTTTTCCACAAGATTCTTGACAATATCTAACAATGCTGCAGTTCTCCAGACCACACTGCAATTCTCCTTGCAATATACAATAAAGGAATGAAAATTGTTTTAGATCCATCAAAATGTTCTACTTCAACAGAATCATTTCACTTTCTCTTGCAATATATATGAAACTATTTTTAAAATCCCCCAAAGAAAAAGCAGTTTTAAACAAAAATCAAAATTTCTGTGAGATTTTTTTTTCCACTCTCTTTTCCTTACTTTTTCCCCAGATGGATTTTCAGTAAGATCAATTTAATTTTGAAAAGCATTTCAGTGATCATGGGGTCCCATTTTCCAGAAGAAAATGTTTCTCCCCAAAGGTTTTTATCAGCCGGATTCCTAATGCTTACCTCCTCTAGCCTCAGGAACTTTCCATGGGATCTTGGAGATAGGAACTCATTTATGAGTATCAGCATTGCATGGATGAAGTGTAACCTTAGAAAGGAGGGGCAAAGAAATTTCCTTGCATTGCAGCACCTCCCACTCTATGGCATGCAGCAAGAGGGAGGCAATAATCAGAGATCTGCATTATACAGGCACAGAGTGTGACATTTTGACCAGTCTGATTGGCACTGAACTCACAAAGCTAAGCTGGTTTGGGGTTAGAATTAGTTGGGGCTTTCCTGCACAGCATGGCAGAGAGAGATGCCTCAGGGTCTTCAAACCAAGGTCAGACAGAGAGGCAAAATAAAACCAACTCTCACACAGGCTCCAAGTACTGACATTGCTGCTCCAAAACAACTCCCACTGGCAGAGGGATGTCCAGGGGACTGGCAAGCACTCCAGCTGGGGTGTGGACACTGGGGAAGGCACCTTGCTGCTCTCAGCAGGGTACAGAGGAGGCTAAAAAGCTGTCACGCAGAGCAGCAGCCACTCGAGATGTTACTGTGGTGGTGAGCTGACGATCAGCTATCGTTTGATCACAGCTTGTGGTTTTCCTTGAAGTGCTCAAAAAAAGCTCCACTAATAAGAAGGAAGGAAGAGGGAATTGTCTCTCACATCATCTCTACTTAATCGTGACGGATTTAGAGCTTTCTGCAGAGGGCTGAAGGCTATGGAGTCTTGATACCACTGGTCAGAGCTCCAGAAAGTGGAAAAGTTATGTTTACTCCACAACTCAGCCAAAACTGTTTCCAAAATGACAGAGACATTCTGCCCTCTTCTGTTCTGAAGGAGCCAAGAAGCCTGAGACACTCTCAAAACTGCTCACCACCCTCTTAGTGCACACTCTTCTATCACGTCTATCTAGGCAAGCTCCTAGCCTCAGAGTCGAGAAGGGCTGTGCTGAAGGGAACCTGGCTCTCGTGGCATGCTGGCAGTGTTAAAGCATCCTCCCCGACTTCTCTTAGGTTTGGGTTGAATTGTATGGCGTGGCCTCTACGCCCATGATGGGCGAAGGCACCACAGCCTGATCATATCAGGTCAGTCAGGGTGGAGGCTGCTCCCAGCAGGGGCCTCAGTGAGGTAGGAACCCGTCCCCACAGTCCCCTGCCACAGCTCGTTTGACAGCAGTAGCTGCAACTGGAACAGCAGCCAGCAGAGGCTCTTCCTCCCAGCTTTATCCTCATAGGTGAGATGAACAAATCCTACCTTTTCAGGATCCATGTTGAATTTCTTCCGGCCCAGGGACAGAATTTTATCCCTCTGTGACAGCTTGCTGTAAACACAAAAAAGAAGGAAAAGTCAGAATAAAGGACCATGCCATTTCATTCACAAGGTGAAATATCACAAGGACAGGTGTCTGACTATCCAGGAATAATGAGAAATCTAAGAGGATAGAAGGGCCTCATTTCCCTGTCCTTGTTGTGATCCCAATCCCATCAGTGTTTTTGTTTTTTCAACTTAAAAAGAGAGACTTTGTAAGCAAAGGAATACTCATGCCACTTGCCTGATCTGCTCTCCAGGATTATTGTCTGCCACTTGCTTCTCTTCTGCATGTTGGAAAGACTCAATCTCTGCAAACACCTCAGCAATCTCCTCCTTCAGCTTCTGCAAAAGAAATATCAGGAAGATGAAGGCAATGGAAGGAAAAACAGCAGACACAGCCTAAAGAAGCGTACGAGTATGTCTAATTCTTCCCTCAGTCATGGGAAAAGGACAAGTCAGGTGGTCATGACCAGCCAAGGATGCCTATGAAATGGGCACTGCTCTGGAATGACCCTGCTGGATTCCAGCTGAAAACAAGTGGAGAGAGAGAGAGAGAGAGAAGGATGTTCTCATGCCTATTGTCAATCAAGACTGGAAAAATCAAGCTCAATCAGTGTGGTGAGTGTCAGAGAACTCGCCCCACTGTTGGTTCCAGTTCCTCAAACAATGTCAGATGCAAGAATCCTTCCTTGTGCCCATTCCTTTTGAGCTTTTATTTTGCATAGCCCTGCTATACATCCAGGAAAGGAGAAGTGGAACTGGCAACCGTGAGATCAATATGAACCCAAAGTAGCTGCATTGTGAAACCCAGAATTTTTAATGTACCTGTCATTTAAATACCATTGAGCAGATAACTCTGTTCAATGGAGAAAAAAAAAAGAGAGGAGGAGTAAAGGTAATTACTGCCAGATTTTTAAAAAATCAATTGTGGAATTCACTTTCCTTTAGGCCCATGACAGACTATGGCTGCCTTGGCTGGATATTCTGTGTTACCATGGAAATAAAAGTGTCTATATCTCCTCGTTTCCATCCTGCAGTTATGTTCCACCTCAAAGCCAAATTGCATCACAGCTCTCTTCTAGGAATCACCCAAATTCTTCCCCATACCAACCAGAACAGGGAAGGGAAGAAGGGTTATTTTACTATAGATCCTTTCTCATCAAGGAATGAGGATGTGGATGGAGCACATAACCAGATAGAGAAACTGAATTACTGCAATATTCCATAATTTAAAAGAGCTTCTGGGTTTCAGTTTTGCTCTGGCCACCTTCTGCTGTGCTTCATTGGTCCCCAGAGCTGTGAGTGTTCCTTAGTAAGTTTTAAGTGTTGCACAAATGTAACAGAACCATGACCTCAGCTCATGACTTTCAAATGACTATCAACTTCGTTATTTTATTCACTGCTGCTGGTCCCCAGAGCTGTGAGTGTTCCTTACTAAGTTTTAGGATTTTGCACAAATGTAACAGAACCATGACCTTAGCTCATGACTTTCAAATGACTATCAACTTTGTTATTTTATTCACTGCTGTCTTTTGGCAGTGTTAATGGCAAGCCAAGACCCATTCTCTTTTTCTCTTCCCTCCCCCTTCCCCCAGATATGCCCTCAAGTCTTCGTGCTTAAGGCTACTGATAGATCCTGGAAAAAATCCCCTGGGGAAAATGTCTTGTTCTATGTCACTTTTTTCACCCAAGCTCACTCTGCTCCTCTGGACATTGTGTACTCCATTGCTTAATGGCTTTGGGTTTTAAAGCACAGGTTTGTGCAGTCTAGCAACCTTTCTCTGTCCATAGTGGGCAAAAAATGTAGAATTCCTGTTCAAGTATCCTGCTCTTACAGTGCCCATCGCCTGTTCTGAAAACTGAAGAGAAACAAACACACAAGCAAATCCCAGATATGTCCATTCATCATCTGTGTTGCAAGGGGGGACGAGAAACCATTCTGGTTTACAGCAGAGAGAGGAGGTCTGGAAGCCTAAGAAGCAATATGTAGTTTGGCTTAATCCTTTACTCCATTCCAGGAAATATTACAGCTATTCCCTAGGCATCTGGACAGCTTCATGTTGTGGAAAAAAATCAGTCCAAGTCCAAATATTCAGTGCTATAAGCTCTCTCAAAGGGGAAACCACATTTCATGGTGGAGGCAGAACAGAATAGAAAGGGCACAGCACCATGCAGGACTCTGATGCAGTCTTAGTGACTGATTTTGAATCTGTTACTTTCAGACATTTTAGGAGCTACTGGAGAAACAGCTGAGTCTGATAAAAGAAAATAAGGAAAACAAGTTCCAGCCACAGAAACTTGTGTGGAAGGTCCTGCCATGAGACCTCTTTGAAGAGACAGGATCCTTCATGAAGGACTTGCTAGAGGTCCACAAAGCAAACAAAAGTTTGATAAACACAGAGGGATGCTGCAGGCATCTAGGACTGATATGCCATTAGCAGGTAACCAGTAATTAAAAAGAATCATAAATGCTGAGCCCGATGCCTGCCAGTACAACTTAGTGAAGACATTTCTTTACTCCTAAATATACAAGGCCAGCTCAACATTGCTCATAATCTGACCAGCCTTTTTCAAACATCCCATTGGGGCAGCTGATGATTCCTGCCACAGAGAGTACCACAGGCTGGATGTACCCTGGTGGCAAAGAGGCCAGGGCAGCCTGAAGTTTAAAACTGAAGCTGGATCATGACTGAGAAAATGCCTCCTTTGCAAGAGTGCTTCTGCATGGCCTGGACTCTTATGTGAAGATGTTCCTTGGTGAAGACAGATTTCAGAAGGCTAGGCAAGGGACAGGATGGTCCTTACCTCAATGTCATCCAAAAGCTCCTGTTTGTGCTTCCTGATGGTCTCTATTTCAGCCTCTTCAGCCGCACTCAAGCCAGTTGATTCTGAAAGAATAAAGATCTCTGTGAAAACTCTACTGGGGTCAATATATCATGGAAAAAGCTGCCCCAACCTCTAAGCACTTACCTTCTCCTAGGGTCATGCCACAGCAACTCTGATTTCTGTGTTTCAGCATCTGTGCTCCCTGCTGTTGCAACCACTGCACCTCACTTTTGGCTTTCAAATGGTTCTCAGCCCAGAGAGTGCAGCACAGACCATACCCCCTCTCCGTGCAGCCAAAGGCTCTGCACAGCCTTCTCAGCTGACCCTGCAGACACCCACTGCCTATTCAGCTGGCCCTGAGCATGGTGAAGAGGTCTCACTAAATGTTCTCTGGTTGTTGTTATGTCAGTCATCTGAAAATTTATGTACTAAATACTTCATCTACATCCAAACTTTCCAAGAAAACCACTGGCTTCATGAGTTATCTGCCATAGCTAGTCAGAAAGGGCTTAAGAAAGAAAATTGAGGTTTTTCAAGGAAGAGGGCAGGATCTAGGGGGTGAGAGCCTTGCTGAAAAAGGAATGTCTTTGAGTGGCTGCTGTTCTGTGAACAGAAGAAAATGCAGAAATATGAGTAGTCTTCCTTGTAATGCACAGGAACTTATACAAATAGCAACAAAGCCAAGGCAACCACAACATGAATCATGAAAGACCTAAAAAATGGGGTGACAGTGTCGCTGCTAAATATAATCCAAGTGAACCACAGCCTCTTCTGCAAGGACTATGAGGAGGCTGCAGCCCTAGAGGGGAGACAAAGAGAATATGAGGCCCCAGGAAAAAAGCAGAGCTTGCAGAAGGTTGAGATCACTGGTGAACTTGCAGACAGGGTCCTTGCTGTACCTAAACACCGCAAGACAAAGCTTCCCCAGGAGGCCAGCTCAAGCCACTGGATGCCCTGCTCCACTGTTTCATAAAACAAAATCCCCTGGGCCTGCTGTCTTCCCAGAAAAAGGGGAAGTAGTACCAGTTGCATTGGAAATTCTCTTAGTGTGGATCTCACGTGCAAAACAACCGCTATAAATGTGAGTGGAAGAAAAAAAGGGAAGGAAGCAGCCATGGCTGACAGAAGGAAAAGCGACAAGGGCAGTCATCTTAGTATGCTTCTTTCCTGTCATGGCCACAACAGCTCAGAAAGTCCTGCCTTCCCCAAGCCTAATCTCTCCCCCATACTCCTAGCTGGTTGGGTTTTCATGTGCTAAGTATGTTCCTGTTACTTTTCTCAGGCTTCAGCCTCTCTCCTGCCACTCTCTTCCTGATGGTTTCAAGCATTGCATTCCCTGGGGAGAGGCTGCTGAGTCTGCCAGGGTAAAGCACTGGACAAGGAGCCAGCATGAAGCCAGGCTGGGAAGGACCCACGTGCCCTCCCAGCCCTGCAAGCAGCCCTTGTGAAGAGCAGCAAGAAGCTGTCTGATTGATGAAGCCAGTCAGGAGGAAAGGAAAAAAGCATCCAAAAGCTCATGACAACCAAACCTGTAGGTGAGGGGAAAACCAAAGCAGGCAGGAAGGTTAGCAAACAAAAAACCAAACAAACAATAAGAAACCACAAAGAAAACCAACGAAAACTATGCAGTGACTCTGGTACTTGTTAGGTGGGTTGCTGACTTCCCTTTGAATGTCAGCCCAGTGCCTCTGAGCAGCGCCCAGGCCCTTCAGCTTAATTTCTGTATCCTGCAGTTGTGGTGTCTGCAGATCAGGACAGCCTCTGTCTCTCCAGCTGTATCTCACTCCTGCATGGAGCTTGTAATTGTGGAATCACAGGGGTGACTCCTTGACAAATTACAACAAAGACCTTTTGCCCTGTATTTCTTTCCGCAAAAGCGCCGTAGGAGGACAACCCTGAGGAACCTTGCCTTCCCCACCCCATCAGCAAACTCTGTGGTGTGGCTGGTTGCTTTGCTTCAGTTGTTCTGTGCCTGCTAAAGCATCTCAAAGAGTCACGAGGCTCCCAGAGGACACCATCTCACCCACATGACCCCCAACAAGGCTGTAGTTAACACAGTCCCCCTTCCTCCTGAACATCTGAAAACCCCCACCTGCTGAGTCTGTCAGAATGAGAAGAGTGTGGGAAGGGTAGGGGAGAAAAAGAAGGAGTCATAGAGAAGGGGAAGGAATCAAGGGGTAAAAAAGTAGGAGAGGGCGACATACTTTGGAAAAAAATTGATGGATCAAACTTTTAGGGCAACTTAGACTGAGCTGCAGAGAGGATCTTTGTCAGGTTTCCTGTACAGCTTTGGTTGCATGGTCCATGCCTTGTCAAAGTCATCAGTGCCACCTCAGTTCTACTTCCCTCTAGGACGAGGCCAGCACACAGATGAAGCATAGCCCTGGTCAAGGTTCTCTGCACGGGGGGAAATTTCACCCTGACGAAGAACACACCACAAAAACACCCACAGGTTTCAGCAGGATGCTGTCAGCCCAACCAATACTGAAGTTTTCCAGTTCAGACACACAAAAAACAGCTAGCATTCTCTCCAGAGAGAACATTAGGTTGTTGTTTGGAATTTATTTTCAGAGAGCAAATGTTGAAAGGACAGTGCAGCAGCATCACATTTGTGGGTCTTACACCTGCTCCTGAGGTTGTTTCCCCACTCTCAGGGCAGACCCACATAGAAAGACCTGCCTGCTCTTGACAAAGAAGATGTGAATACAATCCTGGTATTTTCAGTGCTGTCACTCAGGACACAGATTTCAATTCCAGTTGTGTGGCTTATGCCTTCAGCCTCCCCCCCCTAGAGGGCAGGTCAGAGTTACCCAAATATCTGGGTACTTGTGTGGCCAGCAGAGAGTAGTTCTGTGTTTGCTGGTTTCATTTCCCATTGCAAAGGGCTGTGCTTTCAGTCCCATGGAAAATTATAGGAATAGGGAGATGGCTTTGGAAGCACAGAGGTAAGCGGGAAGTGACCACCCAGGAGAGCTGGAAGGATGAACTGCAGAAGCAGCAGAGGAAGGTTAAGAAGAATGACTGTATCTGTGCAGACCCGCGTGTTACACCCCCACTGCAGGACAGCAAAGGTTCATCAGGCTCATTTGCAAAGCAATGGAGGGCTTTGAGTATGGCTGCTAAAGGGTTTGGGAACCTCCACCCATGGCAGCCAAAAAGCAGAGCAGCCTGATAGGTAGCTTCTGCCTGAGGGAAACTCCCTGGTAGAAAAATTTCACCTGAAATTCCCTTTTTTTTTTTTTTGATAGGGCTGCTGTCATCTCCAGTAAAGACCACCACCTCCACAGACAAGTACCAGTCTAGTAGAGAGATGACAAAGCCTCCTACTCCACAGTTCCCTCCAGCCATGTGTGTCTCCCTCCTGCAGCACTCCACAGTGCTCTGCCAGCTCATGTGAGAAGAAATTTAACATAAATCCCAACAGGTTTAATTTGCACATTTCAGCTATGGGGGGAAAGCTGGGAAGAAGAATTTATGTAGTCAACTGGTCCCTTTATCTCATGTGACAACTTACATCCATTCTTCTGGATATCTTTCCATGACTTTTAACTACAGCTCTTCCCCCACAGATCCCAGCTGGTACAGGATACCACAGCACCAGTCTGCTCTCCCATGTGTCACACATCCAGCTCAAGGGCTTGGCACACCAGCCCTGTGGCCTCACTCAGACAGTCCTGAGAGGGTTCTGAAGGAAGCTGGAAGAGGACACACACTCCGGAGAGAGCAGCCTCCCCAAGGCATCAAGCCTTGCTTGCAAACAGATGTGCAGCTAACAGGACCATCACATCTCCAGGTAGGAGCGGCCCCAGAGAAAGATGCACATGTACCCCTGACCTTCAGAACAATCATGCCACCACTGAGCAATTCCAAATGCATTCAGTACTCTAAAGCTCACTGGAAAACTTATGTGTTTCTGGTGGCAGCCTAGACTCCCAAGGCAGTTCAGCGTCAAATAAACCCACTTTCTCATCCAGCTGTGGAATGACAGGATGGGATTGAGCAAGAACATCAGTCAGAGCCAGCACATCTCTCCAGGCTCTGCCTCTACCCAGAACTGAGCAAACCCCCATGGTGCCTGAACAGGATCTCATTGTGCTATTGCAGTGTGTACACTTTCTTGAAAGTACACTTGCTTGAATGGGTAACTTTCAAGACACAATTAATGCAGTAACACAGAACTTGAGTGAATTACCGTGTCAGACCTTCAGTTAGGAGACCCCCAGTTTCTGTCGAAGGCACACCCCAAAATAAACAGCAAAATATGAGTTATCCCTCCTCTTGTCCAGTTTGTCCTGCAGAACCTTTGTCCACAGTTGCTTTCAGATAGTGAGGGCTGGGTGATCAGAAGAGACCCATTTTCACCAACATTCAATACCAGTCAGATGCTGGCAAGGACTCAGCTCCTACAGGTGCCACCAATTTCCCTGGCAAGCAAGGCTGGTGTGTGGTTGGAGCATGCCCTTTCCTTGGCTACACACCTCAGAGCTAAAAAGTGCACAACAGTTTTGAAACTGGGCACTGCTTTTTTGCTTTCACTCTGTGCTCCATATCCTACACAGGAAAGCCTGAGGGGACAGAGTCAGAACAAGAAGAGATATTGCAAGGTGATCCTTTTTCTTCCTTTGTTCAGCCTGTTCCCACTCAGCTCTCCCTCTTTGCTGGCTTTGCAAAGACACACTCTGAGCTCCCTCAGCCAGCAGCTGGAAATGTTCAGTCTGGTGGCACACCTTTCCTTGCTGAATCCCAGCCACTTTATCCACCACCTGCCAAAGCAGGAAATAAACCCTAAGGTCTCTCTCAGTTCCTCAGATGCAGTTTATTTCCCCTCACCCACATCTGCCCACTGAGATTGTTTCAGGACGAGGCAGGCCCACCTGTAGACCACCAGGAGCTTCTAGAACCCTGATACAGTTGTTTATCTCCAACATGGCCATAAGCAAGGGAGGCCCCAGTACCAAAAGCCTCGCATGGGTGTTACACTGGGATACCCAGCTGCATGAGAGGCTCCGCAAAGGCAAGCCAGCTCCTGGCATCTGCAGGGAAGCACCACGGAGGAGCTTGCCAGAGCTGAATGAGAGCAGCCAAAGCCTACAATGCTCACCCCAGGTGTCACATACACCACTGACACTGAGGAGACAGTTCCCAGCTTGGCTGAACGCTGTCGGCCCAAGGAATCAGAGCAGTAATGCTCCCAGCTCAAAGGCCATTCAAACTCCCAATGGGAAAGAAGAACAAGTAAAAAGAAACCCATGCCTAATGCTGAAAACTGACAAGCAATTAACTGTACCACCAGGATCTTCCAGCATGTCATTCCTCCAGCCACAGCACCCACTCCAGCTGCTGGAATTTCATGGTGTGCTCTTCTCCATCAAACTGAGC